AGCCTCTCCCCCCCCCCCACCCCCCCCCCCCCCAAAAAAAAGGCCTGGTTCAGGCCTGGTTCAGTCTTCTCCAGAACTAGGGCGGCTTCCACAGCGTCTAGGGTTTTACCCCACTTATCCTGAGATGGCATCTGTACGTCTGAGAAAAGAGCACAGCCGCAGGGCTGGTTTTGCATCTTTAAGAGATGCTCAGCGCCCTTGTCCTCCTCCTTGGCCAGCTTGCTGCAGAAGTGACCTGCGTCCAAAGCCACATCCTCACAGTGGATGCCCAGTGAGAAGGTAGCTGTAAGAGGCCCGCAGATGCAGACCGACTGTGTGTGGGTCACCATGACCCTCCACATTGACGATTCTGGGAGCTCATGGTTAGTCCCTAATTAGGTGCTAACCACAAAATGGTGTTGGCTGGTCCCAGGGGCAGGAGATGGCCTAGAAGATTGTCTCAGAGACTGCAAGGTGGTCAGAAGCTGGGAAGAGTCCCTGGATCTGTTCCATCCAAACACTGTTGAAGCAAGAGCCAGATTCCTGGGACCACCAGGCCCACTCAATTCATGCACTTTCAATAAGAATTTCCATAAACTTCTTAAAGCTCCCCACTCCTCATGCGTGCAGTATTTGTGATGGAAGTCACTTTAAAAAATAAGATCTAGGGAACCAGCAGTTAGCGTAATGGCTATGTCTCTGGACTCCCACGTAGTCCACCGCGGTTCGTGTCCCGGACCCGGTGGCTTAAAACTCACGCCGGGCGTGTGTGCGTGCGTGCCCAAGATCCCGAGAGGAGAATGGAGGAGAAGGGATTGCGCATGATTTCTCGCTTTCTGCCTCTGTCTGGCGTGCGCACGCGCCCTACAGTGAAAATCTCTCCAAAAAAAAATCTACAAGCAGAGGCACTTAAAACCTGTGCTTTTTAAGTAGCTTGGAAATTGGCCTTGTGATTTCAGTATTTTATTAGCTGGGGAAAAAGCCTGAGTCTGAGAAGAAGCTGTATAAGAACACTGCTCAAGGCATGCTTTCTCATTTTTTCTCTTTGAAGATTCAGCCCATGAACAACAGTGCCACCTGACACAGCTGTCTTGTTAGGCCCAGGTGATTGAAGTGCCCTTCTAGGGTTTAAAAAGACGAGAGGATGAGATTGCTCTCACCTGTGCTAGTAATAGGCTTGCACTCAATACCTTTCTAGAGTGGAACTTCAACGGAAACTTCTGAAGTCTATCAAAAAGTCTATCAAAGTACAAACATTTTAGACATTGGATTTTTATTTTCTCCCTAACTGGACCTTTTTTTTGGATCCTCAATTTCCAGACAATAAGTTTTCCTGGAACCACCAAATAGGATGACCAAATAACCAGGGAATTCACCCTGAGAATGCACAGAACCAGAAAAGACATGGAGCCCTCAGAGAGCTCCAGGTTGGGTAAACCACGTGATTTGGGGGATCACTATCTGCGAACCTGTTTCCTGAGCTGCAAAATGAGAATTCCTACCCCCACGGGGTTTTTAAATAACTGAAGGACTATGATTATATATACTCTGTTGATCCCATTTACAGATAAGGGGGTGTCTGTAAAGTATGGGAAACTACTTCTGAAATTTTAATGAGTTTTTCTAATCAGGTGCTAAAAGTCTCAATTGCATGCAAAGCCATAAGATCCAGTTTTCATTTTTCATTCTCTGAATTTAGACATGTAGGTTTAGAAGAAAATTTGACCTTACATTCCAGAGGTACTGGACTTTAATTCCAGTCTTCACAAATTAGCTGAAATTAATTGAAGTTGAGGGCCTCAAACTTGCAAAAATAGATCAAATGAACCATTTATTTTTATACCTATTCATGGAGAATAAAGAAATGGCAATTAAGATAAAGGGCTTGAGTTAGCAAGGAGACACCTTCCAGTCCATTGTCTTAGTGATAATGATGTCTTTACTGCTAAGGAAGGTTCTTTGAGGAGCTTGTCAGTTTCTACCAAGAGAGCCATTCAGGAGCAGTTGGCTTCTGACTTTCCTATAAAAGCTAAGCTTAGATATCAGAAGGTCATTAGGCTAAATATGGTTTGTACTGCCTCTAGGAATTAGTGAATGTGCCCCATAGAGGGAGACGAAAGAATATGTCCAAGGAAAAGTTTCAAGGGTTGCCCCAGAGTACTCCCCTTATTCTGCACCATTTGCACAGTTAATGACTAGCATCAAGGAAAATGTTATGTTCAGTGGGATATATTTTAAAATTTGCAGTTTGCAAGAATCTTTGTTTAAAACAACAAAAACCCTGTAGTTTCAGAACTCCATATAGAACATTTTTCTCAATGTTATGTATCTGGGACATTAATGTATCTTATGCAGACAAAAGCTAACTTGGCTGGGTTTACATAAGCAGATAATACACTCCCTCTGCATGAAGCTGCACATGTGAAATGCTGGAAGCAACAACAGTCATCAGTTTGATGCTTTTAAAAAGGGAATGTAGGAAGGTTAAAATGTCTTTATTCCACCTACCTGATTGTACGCCAAATAATAGGCACATAGTCTTGAGGAAGACCAACTCATTAATGTGCTCCTGTCCTTGCTGTCAGTAAAAAGAATGACCCCCTTCCAGATGCATAAGAAAATGTGTAACCTTGTGAGGTAGTCATACTACTGTACAAGTTTTGAAAAAATAGGCCATTGCTGCTGCTTGTCAAAAGCAAGGAGAGAGCCAGCAGTTGGTGTAATGGCTATGTCGCTGGACTCCCACGTAGTCAGCCACGGTTCGCGTCCCGGACCTGGTGGCTTAAAACTCACGCCGGGTGCGTGTGCGTGCGTGCCCTAGATCCCGAGAGGAGAATGGAGAAGGGATTGCGGTGTGACCATCCCCTCTGGGGGGGGGGGGATTTCTCGCTTTCTGTCTCTATGTCTCTGTCTGCCTGGCGAGCGCACGCGCCCTATAGCGAAAACCTCTCAAAAAAAAAAACAAAAACAAAAAAAAAAACTGTCCTGTCCTGGGAACCAGCAATTAGCGTACTGGCTATGTCGCTGGACTCCCACATAGTCAGCCACGGTTCGCGTCCCGGACCTGGTGGCTTAAAACTCACGCCGGGTGCGTGTGCGTGCGTGCCCTAGATCCCGAGAGGAGAATGGAGAAGGGATTGCGGTGTGACCATCCCCTTTCTTTATTTTTACATTTTTCCACAAACATTTACTTTACATAGCAAAAAATTTTTGCTCATACTCCATAATTCTTGACAGTTTACCAACAACTTTCAACATTTCAAAATACTGAATTTTAAAGATAATGTTCAAGATATGCCTTATAATTTTGTATAATTTTATTACTATAACAGAAGCAGTATGGTTTCAAATATATATATATATATTTTTTTTAGAGTGCAGACACTCGGTATATATTAAGTGGGGACATACAGTGCAAGGAGAGATTCTTATATTCCACATTCTACAATTCCGTA